GTATGCTGGCTTCTCCTGCTGGGGGCTGTCGTGTTTCTGATTCTGACACCACTGTGCCCTCAGCAGAGGGTCTTCATGACGTGAGGCAGGGAGGGGAAGAGAAGGGACTGAGGAGTTGGAGACAAGGAGTGACGGTGGAGCACGGGGAGGGGTGCTCCGGGCTTGCACCTGGTGTTGTCTGCCCTGCTCCAAGCTCTCCTACCCCAGAGCATCCAGGGAGGTTCAGAGAAGCTCTCTGAGACCAGGGACGTGGCCTGCCCTGCTGGTCCTGTAGTTCCTCCATCCTCCCCTCTCTACACCCCTGTCTGATGGACACTCAAAACTGGGTGTGGGTACAACTCAGGCACAAGCACCTTCCTGCTGCTGAGGCCCAGGGTGGGGTGGGACTGGGGTTCTCATGCTGGCACAATTTGCTCAAGTTAAGAGCAGGAGGCACCCCCAAATGCAGAGAGCAAGGCATGCACATTTATTGCTGGGGTTCCAAAGCTGACTTGGGTGCAGCTCCACTAAAGCCCGGGTCCCCATGGCCAGGTGATCTGGACAGCGTGCCTGGCTCCTTCAGGTTGGAGCATATCCATTTGTCTGCAGAGGGTGTTTAACAGCTGGATGTCTGCCTTGCCAGTTCAGAGTACGTGGGTCTCGTAAGGAAGGCATCGATAACCCGTTGTAAGGGTGACGTGACTGGTGTAGATTTGGAAGATAGAAAGCAGACGGGGGTTACTGGGAGGTGAAATGTGGTTTTTCATGCTTATAACCGAGGCTCTGAAACCCAAGCTCCCCCTGAGCTTCCATGGCCCATATTTGTTTGCTTATTCTGGCCGCTCTCTCTGACTTGGAATCCCCTGGTGCTCCCCTCCAGCCGGACCAAATGACATCCATTTAATCCTAAATCACGCATCGAAGGTTCTAGAGCTCTTCTGTCACCAGCCAGCTGTGTGACCTCGACAGGCTGCTCAGATCCTCCGGAGCTCTCCCTGTTTCCTGGTAATGAAGGGTGGGTGTCGTGCTGAGGTATGAAGGATGAAGAGCCCTTCCCCACCACAGAATCCCACGACTCCATGGGAACTGGCTTAACTTAGAGAGTTTGGACAACACGAGAGGAGCTCCGTGGAGACAATCCAGGGTCTGTGGACTAAGGCGGGGACCTAGCAGGTCAATCGTTGGTTTTTATAAATTCTATATTTGGATAAAAGTACGCTGGCATGCATGGATCAATTAGCTGTCATGTCCTTGTTTAATTTGGTTTACTCTGGAAAGTCCTTGTAATACATTGATAAACTTCCATTTGTAAGTGAAGCTTTGACATGAGGAGGACTCTGCTCCCCAGAGAAGGCCTGATCTCTGTGCAGTGTGCTGGCCCCCACAGCACCCCACCTGATGTCGGGCAGCTCTGGTCTGTACCGTGCTGCAGTCCTGGTGGACATCCTTTTTGGCTTTTATCCAGGAGTGAACAGTAAATAATGAAGAAGTATATTAGGCTGAACCACTGACATTTGTATGCAGGGTAGTAAATGTTTGTAGATGAAGAGCAGCAAAAGATTTTTTAATAAATGCTTTTGTGACGGATTTTATACTAAATCATTTCTTGACATTTCGACTAAAACCAACAGCTTAGATAATGGATCTGATGTTCATACCATGCATATACTCTGGTTTGATAAATCCTCCACTAAGAGGACCTCCATGAAGCTGGATTCCCTGGAGGCTGGGAGGAGATTGTATGTGGAATAAATTAACTGGCTCGGGGGAAGTCGGGGGCACCTCGGGAGGTCTGCTCGGGCCTGCTCTGGCTCGTGCCCTGCTGGGCTCTGTGCTGAGGCTCAATTAACAGTCTCCTTGGGTTTTCAGTTTGGGGCTGGACTGTGCTAAATAAACTCAGTGGTTGAGATGACTTTATGGTGGTTCTGTTTTCTGATGGGAATATTTGCTCAAGATAGCAACCACTGGAGAGCCGAAGTGGGAAACGGAGGTTCTGGCTTGGCCACACGTGGAGAGACCGCTTTGAACCAAGTGCCCCGAATCCCTCTCCCTGCTCATTCTCCATCAGACACCAAACAGGACAAATCTGTGGACCCTGGGGACCCTCAAAGCAGCCCAGTACTTGCCTTTGGGGTCCGCAGGCCCAGGCTCAGGGGTGGTTTTGGTTGCTCTGAGCTGTGTGGCCATAATGGTGGGGTCTCCCCACCAGGCTCTGCTGATTCCCTCTGCCACTCCTCCTGGGCTTCTGTCCTGCATGACCATCCTCCTGCCTTAGCCAGCTCTTGCCTGTCCTTCAATGTCTTCCCATTGACCTAGGGCAGGTCAATCCCTGTGATGGACGTCCACCCAGTGCCTGGTGCTGTGCCCTGCTGGACAGCACTGCCTATAGTTTTCATGGTGTCCTTCAAGGAAGGTCTGGGTCTTGGGGAGGGTGGGGCTGTCCTGGGCACCTTCGCCCTGAGGTCTTGCCCCCGTGAGGCACACAGAGGGTGTTGTAGAATGGATGAAGGAGGGAGCAGATGAGAGAATGTCAGAGGCAAGCTGTAAATCAGAACAAAGGCCTGATCTCACATCTCACTGTTATTTTGCATGTGTCATTTTCAGAAATGATAAGTGGCCTCCATCCTGATCCATCACAGTGCAGTAGATTAAGCCGTCCTTCGAAAAAAATTAAAGAGCCTTGACAACGATAATTGCCGTTAATATCACTCTGGACATAGGTTTACTGATTGATGAGTTTGGAAAATTCACTTCTAAAACAACATTAAATAACGTGATTTCTCAGCCAGCGGGACTGCCAGTGGTGTGGGATGGCCCCAGCTCCGTGGCTGTGCAGGGGAGAAGTCACTTCTATTGGGCTGGCCAAGAGCTCCCTAGGGAGGAGGCTGCCTGGGCCAGGCCTGGGTTGTGCAAACACTGGTTGTCAGCCTGAGGCCCTTGCGACATCCAGGGCCCCATCCGGTTCCCATTGCAGAGTGAGAAATTCATCCGGCAGCAATTCTGCGCCAGCACCTTCCTGCCTGAGTTTCCCTTTCCCATTTTACACGCTCGCCCTCCCCGTTGACTAGCGCCTGGCAGGTTTCCAGAGGTATCTGGTTCCAGGAGAGAAAATAACACAGGTCGTGTGTAAGGACTCAATAGAACCCTTCCTTGGAAACAGCCTTTGTCAGGTGTCCGAGAAACCGTCCTGCCTTCAGCCGTGAGTTCATCAGACAGGGCAGCTTGCAGGAGCAGGGCAGGGCCGCGGCTGCCTGGGGCGGCCCGCCAACTCAGCAGGGCAGGTGGCGCCCCTGTCAGGGCTGCAGTCTCTCTCTTGCCTCTCTCTCTCGGGCTTGGGCCCGCCTGTTGCTCCTTCCAGGCCGAGTGTGTAATTCTATCCGCCTCCCTGTCACTCACAGCTGTGACTCATAATCCTGGGCCCTACTTAAAACACTTAGCTGGGTTGTGTGGCTCTAAAATGACCTCTAGTTTGCCTTGCAACTTGTTTGGACTTTTACGTAATCATAGAAACAAGTGAGGTGAATGCTTTGAAAACATTTACTGTGTAAGAAAACAATCTAAATGCATTTTGTGCCAACTGCAGTGACTTGGGCACATGGGGGTGATGGGAAATGTCATGCAGAGGTGGCGGGAGCTTTGCACGTACATGGACAGGCAGGGCCAAGGAGAAATGTGGGTAGCTGCTGGTTTGTGGGCCTGGAGGATGGGAAAGAGGGCTTGACCCCGAGCTTCAGTTTTCTCATCTGGGAGATGGGGTCGTGCCTCTTTTCTAGGGTTGGGATGAGCAGCAAAGGCAATGACATGCTCTGTAAACACGCGCGAGGTCCTGCTGGCACGCAGCACGAACCACGGGAATGCCAGGCGCTGTCATTCTGCCACAAATTCTTCACCTCCTTCTCTCTGGCCACCGGCTTTTCCTTTGGCTTTGGGAGAGGGACCAAACCTCTCATCTTGAGTCCCCGAGTACCTGATTCTCCTGGTTACATTTAGCAGCGAGATGTGGCGCTGGCCCCACAGGGAGACTGCAGAGAGGGCGAATGAGTGGCTGCCTCCTGGGCTTAACTAATTAGGGACAAGCTGGGCTCAACATGTGCGCCACCTGGAGTCCCCCACAGCTTCCACAGGGGACGGTCATGGCTGCCGAAAGTCACAGGCTAGAGCCAGGGAGGGAACAAACTTTCCTGTTGATTGGGGTGGTCCAGGCTGTTGCTGACACCCTGGACACATTCCCACTGAGGCAGCTGGGTCCTCATAGGGCATCTGTGCCTCCACGCTGGCCCGTCAGCAAGCTGGGGCCAAGGACCCAGCTGGCGCCTGCAGGTTCCCAGTGCGTTTACTGGGTGAGCGAAGGGGAGGGGCGCACTGCATCTCTTTGGGAGACACTCTGTCCACGCATCTCTTCCTGGACACGGGGCCCACACACTCTTGCCCAGTACCTTCCGGGGTGGCCGTCAGCCCTGCTCTCTGGGTCTGAGGTGTTTCTGCAGAGGAAGGTGGATTACAGTGCCGTGAGCAAGTGTCCCCTCCCTTTGTGCAGCTGCCTTGTGCCCACTGACCCTGTTTCAGGCAGTGTCGTCCTGCATCTGTGGCTTCCAGACTGACAGCTGCATCCAGGTGCCTCTGGCCTGCTGTGACACGGGCCTATTTTAAGCCAGCGATCTTTAGCAACTTTACAGAATCGTGAAACCAACACCGCAGCATAAGTTCAGGACATTTCTTCAACCCGAGAAGACCCTGTCTGTGTGTGGTCCTTCTCACTCCCTCCCCAGCAGCCATCTTTCTGTGAGAAAGCAGGTGGTCGTGTTGGGATCCACTTGGAGGGTGGCCTCCAGCCAGCCGCCAGCCGCCAGCGGAAACCAAGTTCTACAACAACCAGCAGAGAGGGGAAGGGTCCTTGCCCTGTCAGGCCAGCGGCTGAGACCCATTCCTGTTGCTGCCTCTCCTGCGAGCTTGAGAGACCCAGGCAGACATCCTGTGGGGCTTCGCTGGGACTCTGGACCCACAGAGGTGGGTGCTATCATAAATGTCCTTCTTGAAGCTGCTGATTTTGTGGTAATGTTGTCACAGCTATAGAAAACGAACACATTTCTCCTCGGGGACCCACCTGAGTTCCCCATTGCCGCTCCAGTCCACGTCCCCAACTCTCCTCCCAGCCCACTGCCTGCCTCGCTTCTGATCTCGCCATCTTGTCCTGGAACTGGGCAGTGGCCTCCTGTGGACGTCCCTGCCATGGTGCCCGTCACCTGTCAGTGCCAGCTGCACCCTGATACCCAGAAATCTGTGTAAACCTGGTGATGTCCCTACCCCACACGGCCGCCGAGGAAGGCCAGGGTCCCTGCTTCAGCTGGCAAGGGTCTCATCATCCAGTCCCCACATCCCTCCCCAGACAGCTCTGCCCCTCCTGCCACATACCCGGGCTCCAGCCACTCTGAACAACTGGGCAGCCATCCTCGGAGATTCTGGGCTGGTCCCCCCTCTGTGATGGTGCGTCTCTTGTCCTCCCAGCCTGGAATGCCTCTCCACCTCTTCTCAGCCTGAAAAACACATTCATTCTTCAAAATCCCAGGTCCTAGGTCACCTCTCTTTGGAGCCTTCTGAGGACTCCTGACAGGGAGTTGGGGCTTCGGTGGCCCACTACTCTCCTGTCTGGCTACCTGGTGTTTCCAGCCGTGTCCTCCAGTGGCCCCCAGTGAGCAGAGCTCTGGATCGGCTTTGCCACGGGTCTTCTTCTCCTGGCCCTCGGCCTTAGCGCCTGGAGTCCCTGGTGTTGAGCAGACCTCTTCCGCGTGAATAGGTGACTGTCCTCTCAGTTAAGGGCTGAGCACTGCCACACAGGAGCCAGAAGCCCAATGGGACAGTGGCCACGGGCTTCCACAGGCCTCTTGGTTTCCGGGGAGCTGGTGTGCAGGTCGGGCTGAGTGGCAGCACCTGGAGAGGCGACTTCCAGACTTTGGGGCTTGCTGTGATCTGCTCTGCAGATCTGGAGGTGACAGTTCTCCTGCTCTCCCGAGGAGGGTGCCTATGAGATTGTCACCTCTGCTGCCACCTGGAAGTCCCCCTCCATCCCCTGCTGGTGGACCCAACTCTTGGAGAAACACCAATTAAAGTTCAAATGATTCGGAAGACAGGAAGGACTTGCGTGCCTCCCGCGCCCCCGCCTGGCCGGGCTCTGAGGCTTCCTCCTTTATTGGCTTTCTGTTTCCCCAGCCAGAGTGCAAGCCCAGAGGGGGGGCCTGGGCTGTGAGCCTCTCTGCAGTCTGAGCTGGGACGCCCCTGGGCACTGGGGTGGCTCTGGAATAACTCCGAGGCCCGCCCTGCCCACCTTCCTTCCTGCCCTGCCTTCTCACATTTGCCCCTGGCTTAAAGCTTCCACTGTCTCCTGTCCCCTTAGGATAAAGGAACATGATCTTTACTTCTAGAAAATTTCCATTTTATCAGTTTATCCCAGATTAAGGAATTATAAAAATCCTCCCATGTGGATTATCCTTAAACCTAACCCAAATGTAACCCTGGCTCTGACTCTGCAGTCTGAGACTGGGAATCGCTCTTCCCAGAGCCCTTTCATTTTAGAAGACGTTTCCGGCGTGTCTTCCTATGTGGTACGAAGAAGGATTCCTGCTTGACCGTTGCTGGGACGCTCCTCTGGTTTATCAGGACGTCAGGGGTATAGGATGGGAGTGTGAAGGTCAAAAGAACCTTGGAGCTGGGTGAGCTACAGCCAGGGGCGTCACCCTCTGGGGACCTTGGAGGTGGAGATGGTGCTGGGTGTGACCTCGCTGTGCATGATGATCTTTTGCACCTGGCTCCTGTGTGTTGCTGGAGGTGGGGAGGGGTGGGCTCCTCAGAATGGCTTCTACCATTTCATTTTCTTTGCAGAGGGAAGAGAGGCTCCTCCCATCAGTGTCTACTGGGCTGTGAGGCTGTCCCCTGGGGGCCAGCTGGTGGAGTGAGAAACACTCACCAGCAAGGACAGCTGGTGGCTTCCCAGCCCCACTGACCTGCAGCTCTTCACCGGACTGCTCACCTTCCTGTGAAGGGTCTTGGGGTGGAATCAAGACAAGCAGGTGTGGGGCTCTGAGCCAGGTCGTGGCTGTGTGCCCTGCAAGGTCCCGAGGGTCCATGTTTCGTGTCATTGCTTCCTATCACCGTGCCAGTGAGATGGGATGGGAGTGCCTTCCCCGCTCTTGTAGGGAGGCCACGTGAACGCGCCCCTCCCCGGCCCAGCACTACTCGCATCATATGTGTTTCCTAGGACATTAAAATGACCCCTCTGGGTCTCCAAGGACACCCTCATTTGGAGTTTTGCCCTGCCTGCTCCTTCTAGCACCACATGAAGCTTTTGTCTGGTGGCTCAAAAGCAAATGCTGCTCCTTGTCCACTTGGGGAAGGAGCCTGGAGAGCGCGCGGGCTCAGGGCGTGCGTGTCCTTTCAGGGCTAGGCGTGAGTGGCGGAGGTGTTTTACGTCCCTGTCCAAAGTATTCTTGGGGCACTGGGGCCCGTGCTGTGGGGCAGGAGACCTGTGCCACTGAAATGCCCTCATGTCACACAGACACGGAGCCCCTCTCTCAGGCAGCCCTGGGCAGCGGGGCCAGGATGGCAAGTGCCGTGCCCGGGAGCATGGGAAGTGGTGAGGTTCACACGACACTTCAAATGGACAGTCATGTCCTACCTGGGGAGGCACAGGATGCGTCCCAGGAGGGGCAACTGTTGGGAAAGGGGACTCAGTCAGGAAAGGGCAACTGCTCTTGTCTTGTCTTAGCAGTGTCACCTCCACTCTGTCTGCCCCTCCTGTCCCTTGGTCCAGGTACCAAAGCACCAGAGCACGGTGGCCTCCCAGAGCGGCCCCTTGTCTGTGGCTCTGCAGCGGGCAGCCCCGGGAAGCACCTGGCTCCACTGAGAAGCTCGCGGTGCAGCCGCAGGTCCTGTTCTCAAGTCCGCCTCCTTCTCTGCCCTACCAAGCAGGCATTTGATTTGGTCTTCGAGGACCTCCCAGATGCCCACAAAGGGGACATACTACAGTCCTGCAGACGGGAGCCCCTCTCATCGTGATCACTAGGTGCCCAGGGTCTCCAGGGGCCATGCAGACAGACAACTGCCACCTGCGGATCTCCTAGATGTCTGCCCTGTCCTCCAGTTAGCCAATGGCCCATGGAAAGTCTGGGCTCCCATCTTTGCTTTTATGGAGACAGTTAGCTTCATCTTCCTTTCCCTTTGGCCTGTGGAGGTCCTCTGCTCTCAGTGAGGTTAGTGGCTCTGTCGACTGCAGAGCAGCCTGCCGGGACGGCCCCCTGCTCGTGACAAGGCGCGTCACTGCAGGGTTCTCGGCTGCTTTCCTGGGTTGGGCTTCCTCCGCCATGGGTTCCCCCAGGGGAACCGTGAGACGCTGTCCCCCCCTTTCCTGGACAGGGGATTGAACCCAGGGGTGATCTACCACTGAACTACATTCTCAGCTATTCATTTTTTTTTTTTTTGAGACAGGGTTTTGCTAATTTGCTGATGCTGGCCTGGAACTTGCAATCCTCCTGCCTCAGCCTCCGGAGTAGCTGGGGCTACAGGGCTGGCTGCTGGGCCTGGCTTCCCTCGGACCTTCCCTCTTCCTTCTTCCCCCCCCCCCCCCAGCTCCAGGTCCCAGCCCCACCCCGGGCTCCCGCACAGGTTGTCTCCCAGAGCTCTCGGCCGGGTGAGGTCCCACCTGCAGCATGGCTGCCTCTCTCCCAGGTGAGCGCTTCTTCTCTCCATGCGGGTGCATCTTCCGTGTCTTAGCTGAGAGGCCCCCCCGCACACACTCCCCGCTGCCACTGGGCTGCGTTCTGCATTAGCCCCCTCCCAGATTGCAAGCCGGGTGACCACGTGTGGCCCCTGGGACTGGCTTCGACGGTGGTGACAGAAGGTGACCTCTGCTGTCCCTGCTGCTCCAGCTGCGGTACAGAGTGTTCAAGGGAAGAGGCTGCACCCTGGGGCCGCAGGAGCTGTCAGAAGGTGAAGGACCCCGGGCTGAGAGGGACACCTCTGAGGACAGACTCGGGGGCCTTAGGCAGGTAGAGAGGGGCTTCTAGGAGATTAGGATTTGCCTCTCAGAAGGCTGAGGGTAATCAGCTTAGTCCACCAGGAGTCGATTCTCCAAGAAACACAAGTAATCCAATAACTTAAGGGACAGTGGTGCTCACTGTTGGTTTGGGGGTCGTCTCAGGAACCGATTCATCAGTGTCCTAGTGGTTACGATGGGGAAGAACTCGGGAGAAAGGCTGTGGTTCTGGAGAGCTTGGGCAAGGTTCTCCAGGCTTCGGATTGCCGTCCAGTGGGGGTGTCTGGGGAAGGTCCTCGTCTCTGCCGTCCAAGCTGTCCAAGGTCACGGCCACATGAGATGTGTGGCCGGGGCAGCTGAAGAACACAAGACGACATTGCACTGATTGAAACCCAGTCTGAATGTCCATGTGTGGCACTGCCACTGTGGTGGTGAGCAGTGCTGTCTGGGGCAGGTGTGTGCAGGTGGCCGCTGTGGTTTGGGACTGTCCCCAGAGGTTCAGGTGTGGGAAACTTGCTCCCCACTGTGGGAGATGTTCAGAAGGGGTGACTCTTTAAGAGGAATCGCCTGGTGGGAGGTGATTAAGTCATGGGCTGCACCCTTGTGGAGGGATTAATGCAGGGCTTCTGGTGTTGAATTGGTTCCTGCAAGAACGTGTTAAAATGAGTTTGATTATCTTAGCTTGTTCTGTCTTGCTTCCTGTCATGTGATTCCCGTGTGTGTGTGTGTGTGTGTGTGTGTGTGTTTTGTGTGTGTGCTCGTAACACAATGCCATCTGCCATTTGTGGTGTAGTCTGAAGTCCTTCACCTGAGCTGAGCAGAGGCTGGTGTCATGTTCTTGGACTTTGAGAACTGTGAACTGAATAAACTTCTTTTCTGTACAAAGTACACAGCCTCAGGTGTTTTGTTATAGCAATGAAGAAGACACTAATACAATAGAAGGGTGGAGAGGTGAGAGAAGTAGAGAGAATTGCCCCTGATGGAGAGAGCATTGTGAGGGGCTGAATACATGGGGACTGGTGTTGGGGATGATGGGAAGCCACAAAGGGTTTAAGCAGTAGGGTGAAGCACTCAGACTGATAGTTTAAAAGACCCTTCCACAGCTTCTCTCCAATCCAGGACTCATGTAGAGCAAGACCAGGGGAGGGTGGTGGCCAGAGGCAGTTGTGGCATGTTGGTGTGCATGTGTGATGTGGTGTGGAACTGTAGGGATGCTCTTCCCAGGGGCTGTGCCAAGCATTCTATATGCCCAATAACCACACCACCTGCCAGTATGTATTCTGACCACAAAGTCCTCAGGGCTTTGTGATCAAGCCATTGATTGCTGAGGGAGAAGGAGGAGAGAGGTAGAGATACAGGTAGAGGCCTACAGATAGAGACACAGGTAGGTAGGTAGGTAGGTAGGTAGGTAGGTAGATGGGTAGGGAGAGGTAGATTGCCTGGTTCTCAGGTTGTCTTCTGCAAAAGGAGAGCCCCAGGGGGCAGGGTAGCCTTGTAGCACTGAATCTGAGTTTTGGTCACCTGGGCTGTGTAAGGCTCAGGAGTCCACCCTTCCTGCTCAGGTCCTACCCTCTCCCCCTGGGGACAGAGGGGCAGGTTGCAGAAGTGGACTCCCCAGCATATAGGGGAAGGTGGCCCTAGGCAGGCTGGTGACAGCTAGCCTAAGTGTCTCCTGCTGCCCAGGAGCCGTGTCCCTCTCCTCCAGGCCCTGGAGAGAGGCTGTGAGCAGGCGGGGGCCCCAGGACAGCGTCATTGATGGTGATTCTTACAGAGACTGTGTTGGAAAGCTTCAAAAGTGTGAGCCACACACTGAAGAATGAGGCCCGAGGAGGGCAGAGGGCGATCATGGGCTCAGGTGCCGAATGTGCCCTGAACCGTGCGTGGTGAGGTGCCAACTCAGGGAGCTTGTTTTTTTTTTTTGCTATAAAACCACTCCCTGCTCTACATGGAGAAACTGTGCACACGGGTTTAACTCCACCAGTGCTGCCCACATTTACACCTCCTTATGTATTCTAAGGGTACAGTCATGGGTGTGGGCAAAGACTTAGCTGGGTGAGGCTGTCCCTGGCAGCCTTGCTTATCAAAGTGCACCATGAGGTCTCCTGGTTGGGCCAGAATGTTACAACTCCGCATCCTTTAAACAGCATCAGATGAGCATACTAAAAAATCGAAAATTGGGGCTGGGATTGTGACTCAGCCGTAGAGCGCTTGCCTAGCTCATATGAGGCCCTAGGTTCGATCCTCAGCACTACACAAAAATAAAATAAAGATATTGTGTCCACCTAAAACTAAATATATATATATAAATTAAATAAATAAGCAAAATAAAGGTATTGTGTCCAACTACAACTAAAAAATAAATATTTTTAAAAAACCAAAAATTGTTTAAATTATGTTGACAAGTGTAAAAAAGCAGGTTATAAAATAGAATGTACAGCATAATCACATTTTGGTTTCAAAAAAGGTAGATATGGCCATGAAAAAAATTTAGAATGATATACCAAAAACTGTGGCTACTATGGAAAGAGTAGAATTATAGGTGTTTTAAAATTTTATTTTCTTCCTGCATTTTTATGAATTTACAATTTTTTTAAAAAGTATTACTGCAAAATTAGGAAAAGCCCCACCTTCTGTGTTTTGAGGAACAGCCTGAAGGTGGGGCCTGTGGGCAGTGGGGGCAGAGGGGCCAGGCCCACCTGGAGCTCTGGCCCCACCTGGCTGGCCCCTCTCTGTTAGGTGCTCTTTACATGTGAACACAGGGCAGGGCGTTTTCAGGGGACCTTTTGTCATCAGTCAGAAAAGCGTTTTCCTCCTCTGCAAGCAGGGAAGTATGAGCTGGCTGGTCCCTGGCGTGGAGCTGGCCTGGTGGGCAGGGTCCAGGGGGTGCACCCCGTGAGCAGCCAGTCACCCCAGCACTCCTGCTCACTTGTCCAGGAAGCAGGCCGTGTCCACACCCTGCTCAGGAGATGTGGTCTGAGGGTGGCTGTGCAGAGCCTCGGCCCTCCTGAGGACAGTGTCAGAGCAGCGTGGGCGTGCCCACCCAGTGAGGCCACAGGGTTTTATCCGAGGTCCTAACTGCCAGACAGAATCCCCTAGGCCCAGTCTGCACAGGTCCCTCTTACATGGTGTAGGCAGGGGGCCGGAGAGCTGGCCTTGCAGACGGGATGGCTAAGTCATCGGAATGGGTTCCTTCTCTCTTATGGCATTCCTGTTTGGTGGTGGGTGGTTCATGATTGGAGAAGCAAGGGATTTCTGAGGTGTTGGGAGCTTTCTGGTGAACCCTGAGCTCAGCTTAAGGCACGGAGGTAACTGCGTAGATAACCAGGACCTGGCTGTCCCTCTGGGGCAGCTTTCCAGGCCTGGTGTTCACTTGTCCAATCTTTAAATGGACAATTTAGTGTCTTGAAGATGGCAGCTCTTGTCTTTGTTAGTGGACAGAAGTCTCTTGGAGCTGAGTGTCTTGACGAGCACAGGACTAAAGGGGCTACGTGGCTTTGCAGAGCACCAGGGGCTATTTGGTGGCCACAAGCCCACTGGGCAGGAAACAAGATCTCCAGTATAGGGTGGAGAGGACAGAGGTGTGGAGAAATCCGAGGACTCGAGGAGAGCGGCAGAGCCAGGCTCAGAGCCGTTCCTGGGATTGTGCTGCTTCTCAGCTGGTCTCCAGGTGGCCCTGAAGAGGCAGCTCCCAGGAGACCGTCCCTGCTGGTGAAGGCGTGAGGCCACAGCCCTGGGTCTACTGTGCCGGCTGTCTTGTCCCATGCCTGAGGCTGGTTCTGGGCCCGTGGGATGGTTCCAAGTCACAGGACCAGGAATGATCCCAGCAGCTCTTCCCGGGCTTCGCGTCCCTGGAGGCGAGCCATCTGAGGACCCATGAACTTTGTTTCTCTTTTAAAAGTCCTGGAGTTAGGGATGGGTGATTTCCACCTTTTTGTGCTGAGATCGTGTCTTCTGAGTTGAGAGATTGGTGTTTTCTTCTAATAAAACAGTCTGCCATTTAAAGCCAGGCCTGGGTGGAGGCAAGAGGCGCAGAATTCATTAGCACGTGCCTCCTGGACTCTGTTCCCTCCCTCCCTCAGGGGCCAGTGGCCCCGCACCCACCTAGAAGTTAAGCCGGTGTTTTTCTGCCTCTTATGAATTATTTAGACTTTATCTTTAATATATATTCAGATGTTGATCTTTTCATGAATTCAGAAAGGGCCTTTACCTCCGGAGCCCATCCGCACGGTCTGGTAGGCTAAATGCGTCACTTCATGTCAACACAGGGCTTTGAATCCTTTGTGAAATGTTTTTAATTTTGGCTGCAGCAGTAGGTGGTGATGATTACTATTTCTGTCTAGGTGTTTCCTAGTTATCTTGTAATTAGAAGCTTTCAGAATTTGTGTTCAAGTTTTTGCAATGTTTCCCTCTTCTAGTTCTGTCTCTGCCTCCCAGTAGGGACTAGTGAGAAGGTTGGTGCTTGCTGCTGCAGAGACCTTAGGAAGAGGGGAGCTGGGGCCTGTTCCCGGGGTGGCCAGGCAGTATGGAGCCTGCTGTTGGCAAGTTGAGACACAGCCGTGGCCTTTGTGCCCTGTGGTAAGGGAGGAGTGTTGTAAGATGTGACTTTCTGCTTGACGGAAGGATGGAAGGTTCTCCTGCATATAAATCAGCCAGCCACATTGGGGTGCAGGGAACACAACTTCATGTCTGAGAATGCTTCCTTCATTATTGGAAGTGTTGCACGATCTGTAGACCCCAGCTGCTTCTTTGGTTGGGAGGTACTGCCTCCTGAGCTGTGGAAGTCATCAGACACTGTTCTCCCTGCAGGTGGGCCTTCGCCTCACTTGGTCAAGGTTGCAGGTGACATCGGGTTTGGGATTCACCCTCACTGGAGCTGCAGCAAGTCTGCGGGCTGGTGTGCTGCTTCTCTGGCTGACTTGGGGCTGTCCCATGTGATGCTTACCTGCCTGGGCCCCTGTCTTTTCCTTCTCTTCTGCCTCCCCCTTATCCCTTCACTCCATGTCTGGCAGAGAGTGGCTCTTTCCGGTCCTGATATTCTACAGAAGAATGCCGTGGTATCTCCTAAGACAGCGTTGCTGGCTGATGTGCAGATGCCAGGCACAGAACGCTCTTTCAGAAGCCGCCTCTGTGCAGGGCAGGTGTTTGACACTTGGAGCCACAAAGCTGGCATTGTTTTGAGAGGGTTAACTAAGATGGACGAGGAAAGAAATGTGAAGCCATAAAGGATCAGCGCTTCCAGCAAGGATGGGATACATTTCATGTGTATTCCACCTGCAGCTTCCTTAGTACATGCGTCTAGATGCCAATTGCAAACAGTTTTGCTTTTTTTATGCTTCTAAATAACCTACTAAGACAAGAACGGTGTGTGCTTCGAGTGTAGTAGTGCTTTATTTAAGGCTCATGCTGCAGTCGATGTATCGATCAAGAGGAATTTGTAGAATACAGAGGTGTGTTTTAATAAGAGCTGGATAGAGTTGCACCAGCCTTGCTATTCCCAGGACTTCAGCAATTGTGAAATGCAACTTCAGCATTTTATTTGGGAGAGGAAAGAAAAGCGGAAAAATTAATTGTGATAGAGTAATGGAGACCACAAAATGGGGGCTCTGATGCCCACCGAGTGCGGCAGGCACGGGATCGTGGAGATTCTCTGTAGCTGCTCCGAAATAACTTCAAAAAGCTGCTTCATGCATCGGCTTTTGAGAGAATGTGTACTTAAGCTGCGCGTAATTCCCGTTTCAGGTGGGAAGCAATGCGAGGCCTTGGTCCACTTTGTGGCGGACATTAGCCCTGCACCAGCGAGAGAATGCTTCTTCCTTTAATCACTCCAAGATTAGCCTGTAGTTGCCTCTTTCTGTTGGCCATTTGAATAACAAGCTTGATGAAGCCAC